CACACACACACACACACACACACACACACACACATTACTTGCTGGGATATTCAGATATTTAATTCTCCATTTAGTTTCTTAAATGAAAAGGTGTCCTGAGAGTTTTGACTCGCGGTGTGTATACATTTTCAAATGACTTAAAAGAAAGGCAAATCCCACCATATTTTCTCTGCTGCTCTGCTTTTGTCAGAGACATCACAAGCAGCTAATGTTCTCATAAAAAAGTAAGCCAAAGAGAAAAAAAAAGTTGCAGAGGACATGATTGCTAGTATTGAGTGCAGCTTTGAAATCACAGGCATCAAATTAACTTTTTATCCTTCTCCTCCCTTTGCTTGTCCTCATTCTGGATTTGCCTCCTCCTCCTCCCCCTTGTCTCCACTTCTCGTTTTGTCTGCGTTAGGTTGTGATGGAGGGGTACTTTGTGCACGGCACCAGAGGGCACATCTGGTTAGACAACATCCGCATGAGTGCCAGCTCCCCTCTGAAAGAGTGCACACGTAAGTCACACACAGTAACTCGGTCTTGCTCTAGGTGGGTTCAGACTATGAACAACTGATATTAAAGCACTAGTTTAGGGGTTCTGTGGAAAGGTTGTGAGCGATTCATATCTTACCTGTTGTAGATACCACTTGGGACAACCTCACTTTGAAGAAAAGGGTGAACTCTGACYAAACCGCTAAGCTAACAGCTTGTCTGAAKAAAGTGGATTGCTGTCATCTTAAACAACTTTAATAGAGACTCACGTAGATTCTGTTTTATCAGTCTTTACATTGACGTCAGTATATTATTCTGTAATGTGATCCATCACATCAAACCAACCAAGTCAAATTTGTCAAAATTACATAATCGCATTTTCAGATTCCTGACTTTAAAATCTACATTTTGATACCTGGTTCATCCTGAAATAAGCTGTTCCAGTGGTATGACTTAACTTGTCTTGTTGGTTATGATGATACATTAATATTTGCTCTGAATCCTCTTTTTATGCTATTTTAATAAGGAATTTTTGGTGTCATTATAACAAGGAAACCCCAAATAGTAATTGAATTTTGAGATTTCCCTGCTGGAAAGAAACTAAAGTTTTGCTAGCTCACAGGGAAATCTTAAAAATTTTAAGGCGTTTTTCCTTCAAATTAGTTTGCTTGTTTTTTCATTGCTATTGCTCAAACAAGTGCTTCAAAAATATGTGTAGGGTTATCAAATGATAGATTGAAGAGACATTAATTCATTATATTTTAACAAAATGCAATTATAATAAATGTTTTTGTCAAATTACTATATCTGCCAAATTCTCCACATCCCACTTTGAGATTTAATTCGAGTTTCGACATGATGGGTCTCAAATATTTTGTCATGATCAGAGTGGTTTTGGGTTCAGGTTGAGTTACACTATATTGCCAAAAGTCTTTGCTCACCCATCCAAATGACTGTGCACCAGTGCACAAAGCAAGGTCCATAAAGACACGGATGGCAGAGTCTGGTGTGGATGAACTTGACTGRCCTGCACAGAGTTCTGACCTCAACATGACAGCACACCTTTGGGATGAATTAGAGCAGAGACTGAGAGCCAGGCCTTCTGTCCAACATCAGKATGTGACCTCACAAATGTGCTTCTGGAAGAATGGTCCAAAATCCCCATAAACAACCCTGTGGACAGCCTTCAGAAGAGTTGAAGCTGTTCTAGCTGCAAAGGATGGACCAATGTCTTATTGAACCCTWTGGATTAGGAATGGGATGTTGCTTAAGCTCATGTATGTGAGTCAAGGCAGGGGAGCCAATACTTTTTGCAATATAGTGTATATGTTGACGTGTTAAAAATCTTTCTTTGTTGTTTCGTTTCAATCTTTTCCTCATTTTAGTACTAACACCTGCTCTGCATCCACTCAGCTGTTTGCTCTCACTAATCACCTTTCACTAAATAAATGCTCATACGGACAAATGAGTAATTTCAAAGAGTAATCCACTCTTGTCTTGGCCTTGTTCATCTTATCAAGATTCAACTCCATTTCTCTGATATGAGGTTGTTCTATCAACAACAGGTGAGGCATGAAGCCTTTAAGGTCCTTGAACTCCAATCTTGAGCTGCAGTAACAGTTTCAAAGGCGTTTTTTTTTTTTCTACCCACTGAATGCAGAGATGAAAGGAGAAGGGAGAGGGAGGGACAGCGTTTACTTTTTCACAAAAACAAAAAAGGGAAAGGAAAGAAGAATAGAAAACTAGGCCATAAATGCCTCGTGGGCCCTTAGCGATGCTAATCTATGTTTCATTAGATTTCTCCTCTCTTCTTCCTCCCCGTCTCGCTCCCGTGTCGTATTTGTAAACAGAGCTTTTCCCGAGCCGTCAAAGGGAATTACTAGAGAGGCTGTTTCCCAAGCAAGCTTTGKGAGGCTGGTGCGAGCTGAGCACCGGTGTAGCTGCCTTAATCTGGCCCAAGCAGGGGCTTCAGAGAGGGTCTTAAACAGATCAGAGACTGAACTCTGGGTTCACAGCCAAGAAACTGCTGTCATCACTTCTGACTGACTACCAGCTCTCATTGGAAGAGGGGCCACAGTGTGATAACGGGGACGTCTGAGTGGCTTTTTCTTCTGTTTTTAAAGGTTTTTGCCTCTAATTGTAACAGTAGTTTAGAGGTTTTTATGTTTTGTTTTGTTTTGTTTTCCCATACGAGAGAGTTTTAGTGAAGCAGCTTGGAGGGCAGAGGACAGCCTCTCCCTCCTGCCTCCACGCTCCCATTTCCTCCCGTCCATCTCCTCCCCCTCCTCCACTGCCACTCCCAGAGCATGCTGGGATGTTTCTTATCACGCAACACAGTTGAGTTTTTTTCCACGGTGCGTTTGTGTTCCCGCCAAAAGGCTCCGGCTCCCATGTCGGTCTCCTTCTCTTTCAACCGCCTTCCACTTCCACACTATCTAACACTTTCTCTCTCTCTCACTCACACACACACACACACACACACACACACACACACACACACACACACACACACAAACACACACACCAGTTTTCTGTGTTTGCATTCCAGGGAATCAAAGTGAAGGTTCTGCTCTGTGCGTTTTCAGCTAGGCTGCTCCAGTTTTCCCAATAAATAACTTGTCTGAACTTTAAGAGCGTGCGCACACACTCAAACTCCAAACTCACCTAATATATGAAATTGCATTTCTGCTCATGAGCTCGGTAAATGCCATAATTCACGTGAGATATCCGAGGAATTAAATTTCCTCAGGAGGAGTTTGATAGTCTTCTGACATTTGTGTTGACATTTGTCTGACTTTTTCTCTGCCATATTTAAAGTTATCTAACGGCTCTCTGTCCTTCTTCTTCCCGCTGTCTGTCTCTGCCTGAATCTGTCTCCCCCCACCCTCACAGAACCCATAGCGGCTTTTTCTCCTGAAAGTCCAGGTGAGTTCCACTTCCTTTTCATTTGGTCTTGCTTCCTGCCCGTTTCTGCACCAGCTCGGGGTTTCTTGCTTGATACTCTCAACTGCAAAACAAAACAGAACAAATACAAAACAAAAACTAAAACACAGATTCGCCTAGAAGCACTTTTTTCACTCGTGTTGTAAAGGCTGAATCTGCTGGAGCTAATTGGAATAAACCTGCATTGATCACCTCCAACTGCAGCATGTAGACTTAACTAAACTTTTACTAAATAATAGAAAATGCCCAAATGCCTACCAACTTTTATACCAATATTTAAACACAAAAGTCATCTGTTTGTTTTTTAAAACAACAGTTTTATCGGTTTTGGTTGAATCTTGGAAATAACATTAACGTGATCTGGTAGTGTTTACTTTGTGCGCTGGTGATGATTGTCAGCTACTCAAACACCAAATTTTAGCTTATTATCTGTAAAAATAACTAAACTGTGGCCATTTTTGTGTTGTCTGAGTTTGGTTAGCTACTTGAAAAGCTAATCAGTTGTAGATTCATTCAAGGCCAAGTGAAAAGTGTTTTAAAATCACCATTAAATCAGGAGAAGGTAATCAATGGTGCTTGTTTTCAGAGTGTCATATTTTGAAGATTTCACGCTAATTTTAAGTTAATGATAAAAGATTAAAATATTTCCTCTAGTCTATTTGGCTTTTTTGTGATCACTTGAAAGGATTATGAGACTGGTGCCAAATAAAGTGCATGTAAATACAGTGGTTTGCAAAAGTATCCATACCCCTTGAACTTTTCCATATTTTGTCACATTACAACCACAAACATAAATATATTTCACTGGAATTTAATGTGAAAGACCAACAC